GAAATACCTATGTGGATCTTGAATGACCTTGGGAACGAAGATCACAATACATGGGCCGGTGAAATGGAGTCTGTCTTTGACAGGATAGAGGACCTGTGCTGGATCACCTATCATCATGAAACTATGGTTTCTTTGTTTTCGTTTTCAGTTCTAGGGATTGGACCCAGAGCTTGTGTATAGTTAACAAACAGTCTGTTGCTGAGCTACACCCCTATCACATACTTGAGAATTAAACCTCTCTTTTGTTTAGGTTGTGTGCTATGTATCATTGAAGCCAAATCTAGTCATGGTTTGCCAGCCCAGATCCAATGAAGGATAATTGGTGTAAGCTACTGGGCTTCTTCTTTTCTATTCTTTTCTTTTTTCTGAGACAGGGTTTCTTTGTGTAGAGATCTGCCTGATTCTGCCTCACTCTGTGTAGCCTTGGCTGTCCTGGAACTCACTATGTAGACCAGGCTGACCTCAAACTCAAGAGATCCGCCTGCCTCTGCTTCCCAGGTGCCGGGATTAAAGGCATTAACTACCAAGCTCTGTTTTCAACTCTGGCTTTTAGAGGCATCCACGGGGCTTTTGAAAAAAAAAAAAAAAAAAACAAATAAAAACAAAATAAAAACCTACTATGCCTTGATTCTACCCCAAACGGATTATATAGAAATCTCTGAAGGTGCACATGATTCTAATATGTAGCCCGAATGTGAATTGTTTTAAGCTAATCTGAATGAATGGCTTTCCCTCATTGTCAGCTTTCTTTGTAGTGAGAATAGTTATAGGTCTAGTTCTGACCTATGACATTCAAAAATTTGATGAGAATGTTTCTGAGAAAGCTTTGGTATTTGGGCTGCTTGTGGTGTGTGTGTGTGTGTGTGTGTGTGTGTGTGTGTGTGTGTGTGTGGTGTCTGCAGGCATGAACATGCTATTGCATGTGTGAAGATCAGTGGACAATTCCCCAGCGTTGGTTTCCCCCTTCTGCTTTGTTTTGAGGCGGGGTCTCTGGCTTCTGCTGCCATGTTCCAGGTTAGCTGGTCCACAAGCTAGTCCCATGTCTCTGTCCTTCCTCAGAAGTCCAGCGACTATAGATGTTTGCTAATGCCTTCCTTTTACACGGGTTCCAGGGTGTATCAGCCAGGGTTGAATCTCTGTCTGTCTGTCTGTCTCTCTCTCCCTCACACATAATTTATTGGAATGGCTTACAGGCTACAGTCCAACTAATCCAACAATGGCTAGCTGTGAATAGGAAGTCCAAGGGTTTCTCGGTTCCACAAGGCTAGGTTTCTCAGTTGGTCTTCTCTATAGGATGGACTCCAAGGAATGGATGTGATGGTAAAGTGAGGGCAAGCAGGCAAAAGATCAAAGGAACCCGTCCCTTTTCCATGGTCCTTATGTAGGTCTCCAGCAGAAGGGGTGGCACACATTAAAGGTGTGCCTCAAGATCCGGATTAAAGGCCTGTGCCGATCCAGATCAAAAGTCTGTGTCTTCCTGCCTCAAGATCCGGATCACTCATGTGCCCTCTATTTCTGTCTGGTAGTTCATTCCAGATTTAGTCAAGCTGACAACCGAGAATTGCCATCGCACAGGGAACTCAATGAACCTAATGACCTGAACTCAGGTCATTAAGCTTGCACAGCAAATGTTTTTATTGGCTGAACCATCTTCCTAGTCTCAAGCCTTAACATTTCAGTTAAGAAAATATATAAATGGTTGGGACTGTTTGTTCTTTTATCCATCTTCTACCTGTGAATGCAAAAGTGATGTCCAGAGCATTAGCTGCTATGCTGTGGCTATAAAACAAAGATGAGGACATCACACAAGCCACTGGAGTTCAGAGGTGATGACGAAGAGCCTGGGTCCCTGGAGACATTACTAAGCAGCTAAATCCATCTCAGTAACTTTTGAACTTTCAGAAGTAAAGAAAGAGAAACTGAGAGCCCTCATGATTAATGAGCTTTCTGTTTATGGCATCAGAACAAACTCATAAGTGAAACACACACGGGTCTACAACCAAACTATCCTGAACGCACCATTTCATCTGAAATACAAGGCTAGGGGTGCTTTTGTGGGGCGGCTTTAATCTTCATCATGTGTGCAAAGCAAAATGTACACAGCAGTGTTGCTGGTAACAGCCCAAATCAGATTTCATTCTAGGCATTTGCCTAGTTAAGAAAGAATTAGTTAATTCAGTAAATTTGCATTACAGCATAGTATAGCAGTGGAGCAAAAGAATTGTTTTTTGTTTTTGTTTGTTTGTTTGTTTTTCAGGGCGTGGTGGTGCCTGCCTTTAACCCCAGCACTTGGGAGGTGGAGGCAGGTAGATCTAGGAGTTCTAGGACAGCTAAGGCTCACAGAGAAACTCTGTCTTGAAAAACCAAAATAATAATAATAATTTAAAAACGGGTTTTCTCATTCTTTATGACATAGTGTCTTATATCCCTATGACATGTAAGATAGTGTCTAGAGAAAAAGATAAATTATGTAACAGTAAGCATATAGAGTATGAAACTATTCTGAAGTGCACACTAAAACCAGTACTAAATTCCCCTCCTTCCTGCGTGTGTGTACACACAAAAAAGCTTTTAAAGGACACAGTTAACTGCCTGTGGTTTGAGGGACAGAAACTTTGTCCTTTACTATTTCTATTTTTTTAAGAGAATTGTTATCATTTAATTACTAATTAATATACACATGCTACTTAAATACTGGTTGAAATAAAAAGAGGCAGATCTCAGTGAGTTCAAGGTCAGGTTGGTCTTCACAGTGAGTTCCAGCTCAGCCAGGGCTATACAGTGAGACCCTGTGTAGAAAATTAAGTAACAAAAATGTTCCTGCTTTGCATTCTTCCTTGATAATCTTTCATGCTTTGCCATATCTGATTTCCTGGAATGGTACATGGATTCCTTCCAGGAGGTCTTTTTTGCCCTGGCAGGCACACTGCAACAAGAATGACCATTCAGTGCTGTGGATCTGTGTCCTCCTCTGAAAGGGCTCCAACTCAACAGAGGTCCTTCTGAAGATGGTGCTTTTAAATGAACCCAAATGTTTGCATCCTTCCCAAAGCCATCTACACCTAAATAAGGATAATTTCCATGGTCCCCAGGCTCAACAGTGTTGCTCATACATCATTTTCTCTCTGGTTTAGAACTTGCACTAACCTTACTTCTCATTCCTCACTATATATGCTTCGTCTCTTCACACAGGTCCAATCTACTGATTTGCAGTCATGGGGCTTTCTTACCAGCTCAGCATCGAAGCTGCTTTGCTAAGTACCTCTTGGCCGGCAGGTCTGTCCAGACCTTCAACTGCTTCAGCTGCTAGTCATTAACTGCTAACGACTTCCTCCTCTTCGAGAGCTGTCCTTGGCCTGTGTGATACAAGGGCAAAGCATGCCAGGAAGTCTTGCCTCAAATCAGAACAATCTTGAGACATTCTTCATGTTTCAGAGGTCTGCAGGGAGTCAGGTGGAGGGAAAACTCCAGCTGTGGCCACAGCTTGCTGAACCCCTTCTCCAGCACTTTTCTTGTATTGACACATTTCTCCTGAGAACACTTCCTAAGTGACTTTAACAACCCCTCATCTTTTATTCTGGGGAAGGAAAGGCACCACTTTTGCTTACAATCCACTTTCCTCTAGACTGAGTATAGTCACATCTGTAAAATCCAGTTTAACCCACAGTCACAGATGGCGTTCTACTTCTTTCAAAACTCCCTCAGACTCCATCTTCAAAAAGTTGCCATTAGATCACTCCCTTGATTGCTCAAGGCTGTAGGGGGGAAAAGATCGAACCAGTCTTTACAGAGAAGACATTATGAGTCCTTTGTGTGCCAAGGACTTCTTTGGAAGAACACTGAAAAGCATGGATCATGTCCTAGACGGCTTTTAAATGTAATTCAAAGTAATTTTCAAAGTAATTCAGATTACAAAGAAAACTCATTATGTTGGTATATGATAATAAGAAAACTAACTTGGAGCCAGGTGTGGTGGTGTATGCCTGTAAACCCAGCACTCACGGAGGCAGAGGCAGGCGGGTCTCTGTGAGTTTGAGGTCAGCCTGGTCTACAAAGCAAGTCCCAGACAACCAGGGCTACACAAAGAAACCCTGTCTCCAAAAACCAAAAAAGGAAAAAAGAAAAGAAAAGAACACTAAGTTGATGAGCTGGCTCACTGGGTTAACGGTGCCTGCTGCCAATCACCAAGGGCTGAGCTCAACCCTTGAAACCTACACGGTGGAAGGAGAGCATCAGCTTTCTGAGTGTGCATCTGTTCTTTGACTTTCAAGGCGCCCTTTGGTGGCCTATGTACTGCTTCTCCCCAACCCCCACCCACAAGACCCAGGGTCTCTGTGTGACCCTGGCTGTCCTGGAACTCACTCTGTAGACCAGGCTGGTCTCGAACTCAGAGATCCTCTGGCCTTCCGAGTGCTGGGACTAAAGGCATGCGCCACCACCGCCCTGCTTACATTGCTTTTATTGAATAACAATTTAATTTAATGAACAACTAATTCTTTGAATAACATGACCTAACACTGGGTCAACAATGTCAAAGTAGGTATGATGTTTTAAAGTCAAAGTAGATGATATTTTAAAATATTCATGACAAAAGAAATGTGTCGTACAAATATCGTTTCTATTAGCGACGAAGTTCAAGTCTATAACAACTGTTTAGAGCGAAGAATAAGACTCCGTAGTTTAAAAAGAAAACAAACAAAAACGAGGGGCTTGATAAATACCCAGTAACTGGGTATTTATTGTTAAACTCACGGTCTTGTTCGATAAATAGCAACATATTCTTTAATGTTGTTTTGAAGTTTCAAAAGAAATTAAATCCGACGACTGAAAAAACAGACAAACTGGTTGTGCGACCCACGACCCTACACTACCAAACAGAAAGACAGCAGGTAAACGAACCGGTAGACCCCGCCGATTAGTAGAGAAGACGGAACCAGCGACTCTCCAGGGATGACAGGAAGTCCGGCTCCCACGGCCGCGCTGGCTTCCGGCGTCACTTCCCGCGCGACTCCCTCTGCAGAACATGGCAGCGCTGAGCAATGTCCGCTGGCTGACCCGAGTGAGGCCCGGGACGCGCTTCTCAGAGGGTGGGCGGGCGAGCAGAGGGTTTGTCTGAGGGTTCCAAAGGAGGGCAAAGTCATCGCGGTGTAAGGGGCCCGGGTGTCCCAGATCTGACCTTCATGTCTGTCTCAGGCGGTTGTCGGCGCTCGGAACTCCGGGGCTTGGAGAGGTCTCCGAACATCGGCTACCGCTCACGCCGCCTCGCAGAAACAGGTACGCTCGAGTCCGGCTTCGCTCTCGCTCGTCCTTGTCGCCTCCTTGCCGTTCCCCTGGGTTTCCCCTCCCAACCTCCCTGTCTCTGACTTCTGCCTCTGTCCCTCCCATCTCTGCTGGCCCCACTTACAGGCAGAAGATGTGAGGGTGGAGGGTGCCTTTCCCGTGACCATGCTGCCGGGAGATGGCGTGGGGCCAGAGCTCATGCACGCTGTCAAGGAAGTGTTCAAGGTGAGTAGCCGTAGCCGGGGACAGGGGATGGGTGATTGATCTGGCTGCAGGGATGGATGGGTTGCCTTGGAAAGTTCAGACCCGACCCAGTCCTGTGCTTGGACTTATATCCCTGAAGGCTGCTGCTGTCCCTGTGGAATTCAAGGAGCACCACCTGAGCGAGGTGCAGAACATGGCTTCTGAGGAGAAGCTGGAGCAGGTGCTGAGTTCCATGAAGGAGAACAAAGTTGCCATCATTGGTTTGTATGACACTCTGGCATTTAAATTCAAATGAGCAGTGTTCATAAAGCCTCTCTCTGCAGCGTGCATATATCAGCTTTCCAGAGTGCCCTCTACTGATATTTGGGGAATTTGTTTCTTCTCAGTGGGAAACCAGGAGTTTGTGAGGTCAGAAAGGGCTTGGTGCCTGTGTCACCGTGGTCTGTTAGCTGTGTCTGCAGTTGCACCCCCCACACTTTTTTTTTTTTTTTAAGGCATGATTTTTCAGTGTAGTCCTGTCTATTTTGGAACTCTTTGTAGCCCACACTGGCCTTGAGCTCACAGAGATCTACCTGCCTCTGCATTCCCCAGTGCCAAGATTAAAATCTGGGTGTCACCCCAGCCCTGTGTGCAATGCCCATTCTAACCATTTCATTTCTTTTGCTGTGCTGTGGTATTGCCCTTATCGGATTATTTTGTCTTCTAGATTTTCCCCTATAGGTCATTTTTCAAATCTATTTTCTTGGACAGCCTGACTACCAGGGCCTGCTTTTGCAGAGGAAAGTCAGTTCTTTATAATCTGGCCCCTGGCATTCCTGTTTTCCTTTCCACACTTGTTCTGTGTTTTGCTCACAATCAGCAGTCTGTAGCTCAAGTTCCAGGTGATCTGACACCAACATACATGCAGGAAAAACACCAATATACATTAAAAAAAAAAAAATCTTATAAGAAATTTCACCATAAATAAAGTAACTGAAATTAAAGCATTAAACTCAGTTTTTCTGATTTTAACTACATGATTCTCCTCTGCCTTTTGTGAGAAGCAGTAAAAGGGTGAGGGATTTGGGAGTGGGAGATGGGAGTCTGGATTGAATGAAGTCACTGGGGAGACTGCACACTAGTCTCTGCTCCCTCAGACTTGACCGTTTTCTAACACTCCTTCCCCTATACTTTGTTGCCACAGGAAAGATCTACACCCCAATGGAGTATAAGGGTGAATTAGCTTCTTATGATATGCAGCTGAGGTAGGTGGATGGGTAGGCTTGGGTGAAAGGGGTGCTGGGCACCTGGCACAAAGTTGATGGCTGTCTACCCTCAGGCGTAAGTTGGACTTGTTTGCCAACGTGGTCCATGTGAAGTCACTTCCTGGGTACATGACTCGGCACAACAATCTAGATCTGGTAATCATTCGAGAACAGACAGAAGGGGAATATAGCTCTCTGGAACATGAGGTAAGAAACTGTGTGTGTGTGTGTGTGTGTGTGTAGGGAGGGGGTTGGGGGGGAGGCATGCAAGAGGTAGAGGCCTCCTTACCTTCTTTCTTAGTGCTGTCAGTCACTTCTCTTTCACTCAGAGTGCAAAGGGTGTTATTGAGTGCCTGAAGATTGTTACTCGAACCAAGTCTCAGAGGATTGCAAAGTTTGCATTTGACTATGCCACCAAGAAAGGGCGGAACAAGGTCACAGCAGTCCATAAGGCCAACATCATGTGAGGCATGGTTTTCCTGTGGCCTGGGCTCCCGGAGAAGTATCCCCTGAACTTTTTTGAGTGATTTTTGTCTCCTTGGCCCATGAACAGGAAACTTGGGGATGGGTTGTTCTTGCAGTGCTGTGAGGAAGTTGCTGAACTGTACCCCAAAATCAAGTTTGAAACAATGATCATAGACAATTGCTGCATGCAGGTAAGGCCCTTTGTGAGTGTCCAGAGAGAGGGCAGGGAATGGAACTCTCTTTTTGTGGAACTCTTTTCTTCATTCTCTCGTTTCACCCCTAGCTGGTTCAGAATCCTTACCAGTTTGATGTGCTTGTGATGCCCAATCTTTATGGGAACATTATTGACAATCTGGCTGCTGGCCTTGTTGGGGGAGCTGGTGTGGTCCCTGGTGAGAGTTACAGTGCAGAGTATGCAGTCTTTGAGACGGTGAGTTTTCCCCTTTTTTCCCCGGGGGATGGTGGCACACGCCTTTAATCCCAGCACTTCGGAGGTGGCAGAGGCAGGTGGATCTCTGTGAGTCCAAAGCCAACCTGGTGTATGTAGCCAGGATACCCAGAGCTCCATAGTTAGATCCTGTCTCAAAAAAAAAAAAAAAAAAAAAATCCGAGTCCTGTTTCTTTGCTCTCCCAGTGCCTCACTTGTAAATGACAATGTCGGCTTCTTCTCAATTGCCTTGGCCTGCCGTCTTCTGTGCCATAACAGCTTTGACAGGTCTTCACCTCCAGTGATTCTGGCTTTCTCTTTTCCACAGGGTGCCCGGCACCCATTTGCCCAGGCAGTGGGCAGGAATATAGCCAATCCCACAGCCATGCTGCTGTCAGCTTCTAACATGCTGCGGCATCTCAAGTAGGTTATAGAAAGCTGAAGTGGGGTGGTGGGTGGATGGGTGTTTAAAGGGGAAGCAAAGTGGAAAAGAAAGGGTGGGGGTGTTCTGGTTAGATTCTCAGTTTCTCCTGTGTTGACAGCCTTGAGTATCACTCCAGCATGATCGCAGATGCAGTGAAGAAGGTGATCAAAGTTGGCAAGGTGAGTTTAGAAAGGTTTCAAGGGCTCAGCACTGTTCGCAGGGAAACCTGAGGGACCTTTTCCCTCCAGGTTTCCACCAATACCTGCTGTGATCTCAGGGCTATTCCTCACCTCCCTTCTCTTGGCTATTTCATTCTCTTGGTCTTCTTGTCTTAGTTCCGACTCCTGCACCCTTCCCCGCACCGTCCATTGCCCCTTTCTTGGGCCATCCGAATGTGTACCTTGCAGCTTTGTCTGGGGTAGAGCTAGCAGGCAAGATTGTGCCTGTCTTCCCTCCCACCTGGTCTTTCATTTCCTGCAAGGTAAACTTCATCTCATCCTTTGATATGCACCCCCATCCCACTGCTTAGCCTCCTGTACTGCCTTGCCTACTCAAATGGAGTGGGCAGGTCCTTTTGTCTCCACACCTGCTCACTTCCTCCCATTCTTGCCACATCCCATCTTGTTTTTCTTGGTCTCCATCTCATCATAATGCCCCATCTCCTTCATGGGCTCTTTTTTCTTCCCCACGGCTATTGCTGGTGGCGGCTGTAGGTTCGGACTCGAGACATGGGAGGCTACAGCACCACAACTGACTTCATCAAGTCTGTCATCGGCCACCTGCACCCCCATGGGGGCTAGAGCCCTTACTCCCTACAACTTCAAAAGGACCATGCTACCTACCTACACATCCCTTCAGTACAATGGACCAGGGACGAGAACATCTAGACAGTAGACCATGATTGCTTTTCTGGCAGAGGCTAGGTTGTCCTGGGGGCTGGCTTTAGGTGTACTTGCACAGGGTGGGTGTTGGGACCAGGCCCAGACCACAGGATGATGACAACTTTTTCCCACAGGTTCGAACATCAGATATGGGTGGTTATGCCACTTGTCATGACTTCACTGAAGCTGTCCTTGATGCCCTGTCATAAATCCCACATACGCCCATGAACTGTTCAATAAACAAACACATGCTATCTTATCTGTTTTTGTGTTTTTATTGGGGTTTATCATGGGTAGGAACTGTCACCTTAGGCATGCCCCCCCCCCCCCCCCCCCAGCATGTCCATTTTAGTCTTCCTGGGATACTTTTTGGGACTTTTTCTTTTTCTTCGTGCTGCTCTTTGTGGAGCTAGCAGCAGCTTCAGGCTCCTCTTTAGAAAGTTTCCTTTTCTTCTTAGGGACAGCTGGGCTTGCTGCCTCTTCCGGTTCACTGGCTGCTTCCTCCTTAGGTGAGGATTTCTTCCTCTTAAGACTTACACTGCTAGTAGGTATCTCCTCAGGATCGCTGGGCAACTCCTCCTTGGGAACTTTCTTTTTCTTGGTTTTAGGTAAAGAGACAGGTGTGTCTTCCATTCCATTTTCCTGTGGGGTCTCCTGGAGTTTTAGCTTTTTCTTCTTCTTAGGTTTTTCCTGTATCTCCTAAAGGGGGGAATCAAGACATGAGACTAGTTGCTTACTTGTTGAACCGTCACAGTTCCCATCAGAACCCAGGCAGAAGAGCAAACATTTTAACAGTGTTCCTGGACCCTAGGGGAAAAAACCCTGTATGATGGTCACAATTGGACATCATGCAGAGCTCCCAAGGGACCCTGAAATGGAATTTACTAATAGCTCAAGATGAAAACTCTAAGGGACAATTCTAGACTGTTTGGTGACCTCCCTCTGCCCACCATCCATCATGAGACACTATCACCTCCAGACACAGAACAGGGAGAGCAGGAATTCACACTACCCCCGGTTGAGGACTTCCTGGGAGGCAGCTGAGGACAGAGCGCATTTGCCCATGGAATGGGCCATGTGCTACAACCAGCACTCTGGGCTCTTAGTCAAGTTCTCAGCACCTATCTCCTCCCTATAGATCAAGAGGTAGTTTTAGGTGTTTTGGTCCAAAAGCCCAAGCTCCAGACCATGGTTTGCTGTCTTTGTTCTACCACTGAGAATCCTACAACCTAGGATCCACACAGGACTGACCTCACATTCCTCTGGAGCACTACTGTTTTCTGAGGATGCCAGGGCCAGTGCAGCCAGTCGCTTCTTTTCCTTTTTCAAGCGTTTCTTCTCCTGTTTTTCCAGCTTCTTGGTTATTTCAGCAGCTGCTTCCTCAGCCTGGAAAAAAACAAAACAAAACAAAACACTAAAAACCTGGAAAACCCCTGGCTTGCCACAACACTTGCAGTCTTGCTGGATCAGGCTCATTAAATCAGTTTTCTTGCCTCCATTACTTAAGGTCAGGCCAAGTCATTTCATCACTTCCAACAGCTAATTATGGTCCTCAGTTACTACAGAAACCACACTGACCTGAACCATGGCTTCCTTCATGACATCCAGGTTCTTCCGTGGAATCTCCCCAGTCTCATAGAAAGATAGCCGCTCCTCAACTTGTTCTCGGAGTTTCTCTCCAAATACACTTGTGGGGACCTCTAGGTGTGTGTTCGTGTAGACAAAGCCCATTATAAACCTCGATAGACAAACTCCTCCCCAGTCCCTCTCCCTTCAGCTTCACTCAGACCCAAAGAGTCAACACTCACTAGGTGAACTCTGTTGACGAAAAATATCACCATCATTGTAGAAGCTGCCAAGATAGTTTGCTTCCCCTCCCTTAAAACCCCTTCACTCAAACGCCAGCTTCCCCATGCATACCAGAAAAGCAATCAATTCTTGATGCAATACTGCACTTGTTTGCTAGGTATCGGGAAATGCGGCCTTTGTTCTTTGCAGCTGCTCGGCCAATGAAGGTGGAATGAAATATGAGTCCATATTTTGGTGTGTTACCCCTTGTCTTCAGGGCTCTATGAGAATATTCAGTTAACAGTTCATGGTCAGAAGAATTGACCCAAATGGTTAATTAAGCCCCCCTCTTCCAACAACTTCCACATTTCCCACCAGGCTTGGATAGACTTTTTCTACCTCAACACATGCCAACCCAGTTCCCAGAGGCAGAGAGGGAAGGCATCCAATGTCGCTGACCTGGAAACTTGAGTCCCTTTTTGCTGGGCCCTGGGAATTACTCAGACACCAGGACTGGCCATCACCCCCATAGCAGAGGCCTATAGGTCAGGGAGCCCTGGTCAGCCATCATTGTAATCCCCAAACAAAGCAGTGGGCACCAGAAGCAGCACCTGATTTGGGCAGGCGCCCTCACTGGTACCTGAACAGGGCCTTTTCAGCCCCAAGGATCTGTACTGTGGAAGCTGGGTACTTGGCCAGGTTGGTGAGGCTGCCAGCATGAGCAATGAGACGTGCACCTACCTGGAGAAAGATCCAAGGAAGAAGCCAGGTAAGTGAGTGGGAAATTGACCTACCAGTTTCATACCCCTATTCTCCTCCCCACCATGCAACTAGGGACAACATGGTAGCCAGAAGCATAATAGCGGTACAGAATACTAACATTTTTACTCCCCCACTTTTGAGTTCCCCATGACGCACCGCTTCCCCAATTAAGGCCGACAGGCTGGGGGCTACTTGGCTCATCTTGGAGCGAAGGTAAGTGTGTAGGCTCTGGCGATACTCTGATAAAGACACCACACGACTGGAGAAGCTCTCGATGTTTATCAAGTCGATAGCAGATATGTCCATGCCTAGGAAACACCTAGTGTGAACAGGGGGACCAGGTACTCAAGGAGTCTCGTACCTTACGCAGGTTGCCGCGCTCTGCACTGACCCATGGAGGACCGAGAGGCATCCAAAATGGCCTTAGCCTTGGCCCCATCCATTGTTAACTCTTCCAGTTTCTCCAACTTCTCCTCATTCAGTTCCCTGCGGTTTCCAATGAACTGAGCCAGGCGACAGTATGTGGCGTTGTCATTGATGATCTTCACCAGCTCTGGAAAATGGTACCCATACCATTCCCTGCAGAGGAACAATCATTCCCTGACCCAGATGCTAAACTTCAAAATCAGGTCCCAGTCTCCCTCAAATCCATTGTCTCCCCATTCACAATACAGACCAGGCACAATGCCCTAGGCTGAGGTGTACATGGGGTAAGGTACTCTGCCTCCCCTTTCTATACAGTCAGTGTAAGAGAACACAGCCTGTGGTAAGCACAAGGAGGCCTGCCTTCTACCCACAGGAACCATCAGCCCTGCTAACAATTAGCTGTTCCTAACCACTAAAACCCAAGCCAAAGAGCCCAGTGTCAGCAGCCTCTGCACCTTACCTGACACGCATTGAGAAGGTATTGATATCTTTATCCAGTTGGTCCAGGAGGCTTATGGATTGGATGATCATATTGTCTACCCGGTTCACATTAAATTTAACTTTGGCACGAGAATAGCTGTGTCCCAGCCCTAGCTGGGCCTTACAGGCAGACACATCTGTCAGGCCCTTCACCAGATTATGGAAGTGCAGACGAACTCCTAAAAAGAGGACAGGGACTATGCGTAAGGAAGGTCTCTGCCACATGGACGCTCATAGCCCTCTATCTCCAGTCCCCCTCTTCTGGCTTCTTCCAGCACTACACCCTCGTGGTATAAACAATACATGCAGGCAAACACGGATATTCATACAACGAAATCTTAAAAGTTTAGAAACAGGATTCTTACCTCGAAGGATCTCAGCGATCACACCCCCAGTCTGGCAGTTGTACCCCAACTCTTCCTGTATCGCAGCACCAATCTTGGGGTCTCCCACCCCCAGAAGTACCTTCTTCTTTTTCGATGGCAGGTAGGTCTCCAAAAGCAGGCGAAGGTCCTCATGGACAATACCTTGGGACAAAAGAACACTGCTGTAATAGGCTGAAGGATGCTTTACCTGAAGAGAGGACCCTGCCTCCAATTGGATCACGAAGGCACACCCATCCCTTCAGGCATTGCTCAGAAACATGGAGACATCAGTGATGACGCTCAGGGGATTGACAGATTTTTCAAGTCATCATTGCAAAGCCTGGCTCAACCACAGGTCCAGTAACCACTATGAAGTACTTTACATGCTTAGAACAGAAATATCAAACATCATCAAGAATCACGTATCACAGGGGCCAACTCACCTTCAGACACAGCATTAGCATTTTCCAAGGCAACCTGGGATGAGGAAAAGGGACAAAAGGCCACCAAACGAACGACATTGTGGAATTTGCCAAGGTTAAGCACACACTCCTCCACCTGTGGAGAGAAGGATGAATGGGCTTTCTTTGGATTTGGTCTCTATAGCGCAGTAGATCAGAATCCCTGCTGCCATAGCAGTTAAAACATTGGTGCCTGAGCCCCACACCCGATTCTACTCTAATTCTTAAAAAATGGAGTCTGAGATGTTCTTCTCCAATCGTTCCTAAGGAGACTATACTGATACTCCACGTTCTAGAGCTTACCCCCCCCCCCGCGTGCTGTAGGCCACGTGGGAACACGCGGTGCATGCTGGGGCTTGGCGGCCTTAAGGGCTGCACTGCAGCACCGGGAACCCACCGATCTCACCCACCTGCGGCAGCAGCAGGCTAATTTCCTCCACTTCCTTCAGCGCTAACAGCGCGTAGCCGACCGCGTGCTCGAACAGCACGTGCAGCAGCACCTGAAACGGGAACCGGCGCGTGGCCATCAAACTTCCGGGTCCCCGGGGTCCCTCCTAAAGCAGGCCTTGGCCCATCCACCGCGCCCGAGCCCGAATGCAAACCTAGACCCACGCCGAGGCCTTCCCATCGCTCTTGACCCACAGCCACTCCTCACCATGGCGCCTGCTCCGTGCCCAGCTCGCAATGCGGCTTCCTCGCGCTGGCGCGCGGAACCAGGCTGCGGAAACCACGCCCTCCCCCGCCTGACCAATCAGAGGCCGGGGACGGAACCACCTTCATGCTTTCGGAGGGGCCCGCGGTTGTGGTACCGTCCGCCGGGCGGGCTGGACTGCGGCGGGCGGGAGCCGGCGGCCCATCCGGGCGTCTGCGGGAGCCGGGGCGGCGTGTCGGTGCCTGACGTCCGCCCCAGCGGCCGGCCGCCGATGGAGGCCCCCGTCCTTCGTCTCCCGGGCTTTTGTCCCCGCTGGCCGGAGTCCTCTGGCGGCGGGCGCCCCGGGCCCGGCCTGCCGCCCCAGACGCTGCAGAAATGGCGCTCCTTGCCGCCCGCCTCTTCCTGAGTCTGTCCGTGCCGGGCTTCGCAGACCCCGGCGCTGCTTGCTCGGCGCCGCCTGTTGCTCACGGCCGCCTAGGCCCTAAGTTCTTCCGAGGAGCTGCTTTCCAGTTCTCCAGGGCCGTTTAGGCATGCCGAGGTGACTAAAACCGGTTTGATGTTAGCGTAAGAGTTATAAGCCCCAAGCTTGATTACCTCTTAGTCTTTGCCTTAATAAAATAATAATGCTAAGGGAAGACTCTCCACCTTTTCACTCTTTTCTGACCTCGCGTCTGTCTCCCAGTCCTGTGCCGTCTGTTGGTGAATTCAAGGCGGGCACTCACCCGCTGAGGTCTTCAACAGCTCCCACGGGACTTTGAACATTCTCACAACCGTTAGGCACACTTGTTAGTTAGGTCTGTTTTCTTTTAACGCAGTGACTTGACGGTATTTTCAAACGCAAGGGCCGGAGAGATGGCTCAGTGGTAAGAGCACTGATTGTTCTTCCGGAGGATCTAGGCTCAACTCCAGCGCCCACATGGCAGCACACATCCATCTCTACTCCAGTTCCAGGGGATCCCATGCTCTCTTCCGGTCTCCATGGGTGACATACATGCAGGCAGAACACCCGAACACATAAAATACATTTTTTTTTAATTGAAGCACATCGTTCATTTCATTTCACTCACATCTCTATCAAGCATTGAGCAATGATTACATCTTAAAAATCTCAGTATTGGCTTACAGATACGGTTATTATTACATTTGGGTTCATGATCTCAAAACTGAATCAGTCACTGCTTTTCCCATTTAAAAAGAAGACGTTGTATGTGTGTGTGTGCATCTTTGTGGGTGTGCACGCTGGTGTGTGTGTGTGTGTGTGTGTGTGTGTGTGTGTATTACTACATGGGTCCCAGGTACTGAACTTAGTTCTCAGGCTTGATAACAGGTGTCTTTACCCACTGAGTCACATTTCACATTTTTTAGAGTGGATTTTCAAAGTTAATCTACTCATTAACCGTGTCAGTTTCTTAAACACGACAAATAATTACCATACAAGGGTAAATGGATGATTCCAGAATGTAATGGGAAATATTAATGGTATAACTCCATTATTTCAAACTTAATCTTAAATCATCATGGTTTTACAGGTGCTTAACTATAAAGGAATGGGTTTCAAGTAAGAAGTTAGAATCTTTTAGTAGGCTACATGGTTAACTTGAGAGTTCATGGCCAATATTAAATAAGTAGGTTATAGAGACTAGGAGATCATATGTCATAGGGTATGGAATATTGACTATAAATCTTTTGTCTAGCCATACATACTTAGATACATTAGTATATATACATGTAGAAATCTCACGTACACATGTAAACTGTATATCTATATATTTGTATAAGTTTAGAATATAAAAATCTTGAGAGCCCCTTAGCAAAAAGATAACTAGAATCATTGAGTAATTTGTCTGTAATTTGTTTATAATGAAGTGGACTTGGATAGTCAAAGAAATGTGTATGTATTACAACGTGGAAGCTACAAATGCTTTTCAGGACATGGTGGCACACAGCTTTAATTCTGGCACTTGAGAGGCAAGAGGCAGGCAAGGCTGCTCAGTGAGTATCTCAAGAAAAGTAAGAGCTATAAATGCTTGTGATTATATGGGGGAAAAGGGCATAAACACCCAAATAAAATATTTCTTTTGCTTCCTCATCTCAATCACTTCATTAAAATGTCTCCCCAGGAGTTGAGTGGTGGCACACATCTTTAGTCACAGCCATTGGGAGGCAGCTCTCTGTGAATTCAAGCCCAGCTTGGTCTGTATGAAAAGCTCCAAGCTAGTCAGGGTTGCATAGCAAGAGCCTGTTGAAAAAGGAAAAATGGAGATTGTGATAGCAGATTCCATCTTTTCCTTAGGTTCTTCGGTAAATTAATTGCTCTTGCCTAAGTTTAGCCAGACCTCTTCTATCAAAGTAGACTTTTGTAAATGATATGGATTCAGGAATAGCCGCAAGTTGACCACTCGGATACCAGATTCATATTGATAGAAGTTTATTGAGCACTGAACAAAGACTCACTGGTCAGTAGCACTATCTGGGCTCAGGAGCCGGACTGAGACCCTGTGTGGTTTTCAAAGTGAGTTTTTAAAAGGAAAAGCCACAAACAAGCAGGAAAAAAAATAATTTCTCCAGGTACAGTGTGTTCATCTAAGCAATTACTTTTCAAGTTCATTGTATCTAGGTAGCTAGACAAAGCATTTTAAGCGGACTGGCCGAGATTTAGGAAAGGTAGCTCTTGGGGGCTTTCCAGCTTTCTGGGACAGGAACATGCCAGGGCATTTCAGCCTTACTCTACCTCAAGCAGAACATGCATTTATTATCTTGTTTCATTCTAAGCAGCAAGTACTGAACTGTTGAATTGTAAGTAAAGGCTATTGTCTAGGTGTGGTAGAGTCTGAGAACTTGAGCTTTATTTCACCTTATGATTAAAATGGAGACTTAAAGACAAAATGGTTTCTGTTATGCTAAGGTGAAAGTGTTAACAGCGGAGCTACAGTTATGCTAAGAACTAAAGCAGGTCTCAAGTGAGGGGCTATCAGTTAAACTGATTACAACAGTGAAATCATTGGTTTCTGTCTCCAAGTTATCCTCCCTACTGCCTGAATATTTTTAAAACAGATACTCATGTTCTGTTTATGGTTGTTCATAGTGTCTGGAGTAATGAGAGAATTAATTATAGGCCTGATCTTTTAGAATCACCTGTGGTAGCTGTTCTCTAGAAAGGCCAACAATGATCTTGATAGCCAGGTCCCGTGTCCCCATGGACACAGGTAGATTGAGTCTGCCATTTCTGGGCCTCAGCTTTTTGCAAGTTTGTTGCCTTTGAGTTGCCTCATAAGAAATGCAGCTACTGTGTTGATGAGTCCTATGGAGACTACATGGGAATGGACAGAGGTCCAGTCTTCCCTGCCGAAATAGTAGGTGTCCTGTGTTCTATCTAGCCCTTGCCACTTTCTGACTGCA